GGAAATCGAGATCAGCCGAATGTGGGGCGTAAAAACATAGGTCGTACATAGTCATCGGGGCTCTGGGATTTGTTCCGCAAAATTCATGCAAGAGCTTGGCTAAATTCCCAGGTCATTCAAAAGACTGGGAAGTGCAAGAAATTGCTTTATTTGAAACAGCCCACATTTTGCGCAAATTGTTGTAGGGGCAGCAGTCACTAGATCTGCTCGTTAGGTAGCTCGTTGCAACCAACTTCCTAGCCGTGATGTAGAGGAATGAGAATAAGAATATTGATAATGAAAATTAATGAAATAATAATGTAATATTGATATAATTATTAAATAATGAAAGTTCAAAGAGCCCATGGTCCAATCTGATATTTGCCGCGGATGGAAAATATATATCACATCATTTCACGATGTGCGACCCTCTCACAGACATATTACGCAATGCGACATAACCATATCACTTCCATTATACACCAACAAATTGCAACCAACCATAAATTTAGAAATCTTAATGCCCCTTCCACCACATACACAGTTGAAACTGTGTTGGAAAATGAAAATGTCAAAATTGATTTCGATCGCACAATTTTGACGCACAGAACAGAACATTACAGGCCAGATATTGTGATAATTTTTTAGTTACCAAAAAGTACTACAGGAACATGCAAAAAACATTCTCGAAAAAAAAATAAGTACAGCGATCTGACCTATGTAATCAAAGATCAATGGAAAGTATTCCATCTCCCAGTAATTATCTCCAGTACTGGCCTTATAGAAAAAACACGTCAAAGAAAACCTTCAAAAACTCTATATCCCTCCAAGGCGTTAAAATAATGCAGAAGTCTGTTATCTTAAATACTTGCCGCATTGTTCGGAATTCCTAAATTCAGATTCTTTATAATATAGCACACCTGGCGAAAAGCCCGTTGTTATTTGAGAACGAGATCTTCCTGCGAACCAGCAATGTGTAAACATGACGTATTATTATCATTATTGTGTGAATTTCATCATCACAATTATTTCACCTCATCCCCCAGCGCTTACAATCTTGGGGTGTAAAAATTGAATCAGCATTAAATGCTGATCCCCCCAATAGAAAAGTAAAATGCACCTACTCCGATAATCATGTTTCAGTCCCGGTGGGATGCACGTATCGCGTGGCCCCATGACGGCCGATTTCTGGCACCTCTGAAAATGAGTCGTAAAACTGTAATTGAGAGATCTGGCTTTCACAAACTGATGAGAGATTTCATTTTCTTTTTTTGGTATTTTTTATTATCAGAGTTGGACATCCACACAAAAACTCTCACCTCACGGGATACAGTCATCATCATAGGAGGCCAGAATGGCATCAATTTGCATGGTCACTTTACACCTGAACAACATGTTGACAAACTACAACGTGCCGCCCAAAACACGAATATTATGGTCTCGAATCCGCCCTTCTGGTACAACAAACCAACACTGTGCAAAGAAATTAAACACGCAAACAACCAATTGAAACTACATCTGAGAGACACATGTTAAATTATTTGAGCTAAACTTTATCTTCAACCTTCATGCTCTTCACCTGAACCTTGTCGGAAAACATGCACACGGTGCTTGCCAAACATATCCTTTCACACCCTCAGCAGTGTCCTGCCAAAGACCCATCCACACCCACCTCTCCTAGTGCTCTTCCATCTTCCGGGATCTCTTTGGACTCAATTACGTTATTCCCTGAATCTAATCCTTGTACTACTTCTCCCATTATTCATATATCTACATTTTTCGCCCCTGCTTCCTCACCTCCTGTCACTGCCGGGGCACGATACTTTCTTCCACCACGCACTCGAGGTGAAAATGAGATAAATAAATATCAACTACAGTTAAATGCATCAGAGAAACGTCGGTGTAGGTTCATACAAAAATTCAAATAATGCATCATAATGTGCAATCTCTTTCAAATAAAATTGAATTTATCGATGCAGCATTACAGGGTGATCTAAGTCAAATAGATGTTTTTTCTTTACCGAACATTGGTTGTTTCATAATGATTTAAACACACTCCAATTTCCTAGTTTTTACCTTGCAGGATCGTATTATAGGGCGAGGGAATCAAATACGGGCCCTGCTTACGGTGGTTCGTGTATTTACGTAAGAAATGATATTGATTCTAACTTCTTGTCAGAATTCAATTTATATACAGTTGAGAAAGTTTTTAAAATAAGTCGTATATATTACTACGCTCAAAACTATCTTACTTTACATCTACAGACCTCCAACGAAGCGAGCTTTAGATAATTTCATTTTCTTAGAAAATCTAGAGATAATTCTGAACAAAATTAGTAATATATATTTTAAATCCATTGTTATATGTGGAGATTTCAATATTGATTTTCGGAGCGACTCCCACGAAGAAGAGCAGTTACTCAATTTACTGTATTCTTTTAATTTAGATATTACAGTAAACGAACCTACAGGGAATGCATTTACATCACAAAAAGCTGTAGATCAAATTATAATTAACAAAACCACAACTAGATTTAAAATAAAAACGACTAATCTAGGTTACAGTGACCATGATGCACAAATTCTTACAATTACTAATAACATGAACACTGATACAAATTATTCACGCATGTGCAGAGCATTCCCTAAAATGAACATACAATTATTTACGGACTACTTGCTGAAGGAATCATGGGACAGTTTAAAACGCTGTTGACACAAAAAATATAATTTAATTTTCTCAAAACTTCCATTTGACTTTAACGCACGCTTTCCTCTCAAAAAATAGAAAATTAAATATTCCACGGAAAAATAATACTTGGATCATACAAGGTATAAGAACATCGTAAAAAACAAACGCACGCTTTACTTTATTTCTAAACATCATAACGTATCACCCGATTTCCATGTCTACTTCCGAGAATACAAAAGCATCTTAAGAAAAGTAATAGTTGAGGCAAAAATCATGAAAAATAATCACGATATTTTAAACGCTAGTAACAAAACTAAAGCAATGTGGAATATCGTAAAAAATACGACCACATCATCTCGTTACTTAGTAGAGAATGTTGTTCTAAACGATAATGATAGAGAAGCCAGTAGTCTGGAAAAAATGACAAATCTCTTCAACCAACACTTTTCTAGAATTGCGAAGGACTCACCTCACGACTGACTGACTCAGACTGAAATCACGAAGGGACTAAAATCGTCAAATTCAACAACATTACCTTCCCCAAAAAAAGTTAGACACGATTTTTATTTCCGAAACTACTTCTAACGAAATCTTACAAATAGTCAGTAAACTAGAAAATAAATATTCATCTGGTTTAGACGGATTTCGGGATTGTTTATTGAAAACTTGTGTACGTGCTTTTATACACCCGTTAACTCACATTTTCAATGCTTCTTTATGCACAGTAGTATTTCCCGATATTTTCAAAAGAGCAAAAATTAAGCAACGTTTTAGAAAATGGAGCAAAGATTAAATTCAAAATTACTGACCAATTCCCCTGTTGTCTGGTTTCTCTATAATATTAGAGAGGCTTTTCTATACACGAATGGAAGCTTTTCTCAGGAAAAACGATGCGTTTTCAGTCTCACAACACGGGTTTAGAAAATCAATATCTACGGAAACTGCACTTTTTCTCTTCTTAAAGATGTTGCTTCATCAATGGGTCAAATTAAGCACCCATTGGAATATTTTCAGATTTTCGAAAGCTTTTGACGTTATTGACCATAACATTTTGCTATCAAAATTATCTTCTTATAGTATCGCCCTGGATTGGATATCCTCATACCTTAAACGTCGATCTCAAAGAGTAGAAATACAGTACTGACACAAAAGGACATTATTTACTTATCTTTCCTATTTTTTACCAATTGAGTATGGTGTCCCGCAAGGCTAGATCTTAGGTCATATCCCCTTTTTGTTGTAGGTAAACGATATGCCGTTGTCTGTAAAAAACGGAAAAACGGATGTTCGCCGATGACACGAATGTTCTTTGCAAAAAAGAAACTATAAATATAACGATTTTAGAAGTTTCAAATCTTTTTTGTAATATCAAATTAATAGTTAATGAAAGAAAAAGTTTCAATGCATTTCAAATCAATCTCATTTTGCAATCTTATTGATTCATTGCAAACGAACAATATACAATTGGCTGATGTTCAGGTAACGAAAATGTCTATGTGTCTCAATTCAGTCAAACTTCAAATGGAATGTACATGTAACAGAATTAAACACTAAATGAAGTTCATTATGTTGCACATTCAGGATGCTTTCAGATTCTGTCAGCCTTCATGCAGCTCGTTGCGTGTATTTTGAAAATGCCCATTCCCGCCTGAGATATGTCTTAATATGCTGGGGAAGCTCACTCATCATGTAGTACCCAGACCTTTAGATTGCAAAAGCAAATGATTCGAGTAATGAAAAAATGTGCGTAATCCCTGCAAGACCCACTTCATTGCGCTTGGAATCTTAGTATTGCATTGCCTATTTATTTACGAATCTGTAATATTTGTCAAAACTGACTTACGTAACGGTGGGAACATATTTTCATGGAATACTGATATTTATAATTATAACATACGTCGTAGAAATCACGTTCAGCAAGATAAATCGTTGTATATTACAATTGACCAAAAGAATATTATGTTATCGATAGTTATTATACTCTCGCGCCCCCGATGTTGTTTATAATCACCTATCTCTATTAATACATACTCCTTTAGCTACGTTTAAGAACAGTAAGAATTATCAAGAAACACCCTATGTTATGAAGTTCTATGTTTCATTCCTGCATTCTCATTAAAAATAATCGTGAGCTTTCTTTTGACCTTGTCCAAGAACTTGTACATTCAAACATAACGTAATATTTTAAGAAGAATGGCTGTGATAAAATGCAATATTTCATTTCACCAGGAACGGAACTCAGGACCATGATACAAAAGTGTCTCATTTCATTCGTACATAATTCTATCATTTGTGTTATTAAAATATCATTGTATAACAGTACAAATCGATGTCAATGTATAATCAATCTATAAAAGTCTAGATTGTTTAAGAGGTGATACAAATTACTGTTTGAGTACTTATAAATCATAAATGCTGCATTAACTAATTTACAACATTGACAAGGCAAACAGGTTTTAAAGCAATAACTCAATGATAAATGTTCACTACACATGTGTAACTCTATCCTGCAGTGTCTGATGTAACTGACACGTTTATTCAAAATTATTATGAAACATGAAACTATATTTTTTTTTATTTTCTTCTAGGGTTGTTCATCACCATTGGTGGTGAAATTTGCTGACACTCAAAAGGAGAAGGATCAGAAGAGATTGCAACAAATGCAAGCTAACTTGTGGAATCTTGCAGGTGTCAACATGGCTCCACAGTATTTCGGAGTAAGTTCAATTTTATATCAAATTGTAAATATCATACGTTGATACAGAGAGATACGTGAAAGGATAGAGAATCTTTAAAACTCATTTCTCAACCAGACATTGTAATTGTACATGAAACACCGGAGTTTTTACATAAAATGTTAATTTACAATTGCAGTTAAAATACAAATTGCTATTAATTTTGCAATAATGCTTTAAAAGACGATATCAATAGCATACATTGGGAAAAACGAATGCTTAAATTATCTAGAATCGCCAGAACCGTGACTTCGCAAAACGTACAGCCCCAGAACATAAATTTAATTTTTTTGTGAAGCAAGGTTGTGTTGCTTTTTAGCTTCATGGCAAAGGTAAAATAAATTATATTAGTGCTGGGCTTTATTAAAATATGTAATGAGAAATAAATAAATCATTAGACAATCATCTCATAGTTACAATTTGCAGACATATGAGAAAATCATCACTATGAGATCTGATGTCTCTTCGACAATGAATCACTTCCACTACCAAACAAATTGTGAAACAAATTATCTTACTTACACACTCTCACACGTACACCCACCAACATCCACACTCCTAATTATCCCTCCAAGTTCAATCTCACTACACACTCACCTCGCTCACCCACACTCCCACATCTTCAATCACATTCACGCCCATATACACTCACACGCATTACGACGCTCGCAGGCACTCGCGGGCATATTTCCACGCTCACTCTTGACCATGTCGCCAAAACGGAAGAATAACTCTGTCCCACACTTGGTATTATTCATAATTTTTATATCGTTCTTCGATGTGGATGCAGGCTGGGGGTAGTCGTCTCGGCCAGTAGAACTTCCGGGCATGTCTAAGAAGTATGAATGGTGGTTTCTAATCTGATGAAGTTGTTATTGTGAAAATGTTAATAGTTTAATAAATAAGAGTGTAGATGGTATAACATTCAATGACATTGCTGTGAAATTGTGTATGAATTAATAACGCATGTCACCTCAGGTGCTTCAGAGAGTGGCATTGCAACTGAGGGGAGGGGGTTGTGCACAAGCGAGACCTATGTCTACATCCACATTTCCTGGCTGCCCTTGCAATTACGGGAGGTACGTTGTAGCTGTTTCATCAGCTGTGGGGTCTGCAGAGTGGTTATTGATATGAAGTAATTGCTTGGTGATTCGCTCACCTTACTGCTGAAGATTCAAATAATTCCCAATTCACTGCTTGGTGGAAAAGAATGAGACTGTGTAGATGTGCATGAACTTCATGGGGGGTGAGACAATATTTCCAGGAACATTATATGCTGATATCAAGTCGTGCTTGTGCCTCGGATTAAGTGCCTTAATTTAAGACCCTTATTTTTTTTCTTTCGTCAATGGTAATTTCCTTCGTATAAGCTGAAGGGTCGTAGATTTTTTCAATGTAGTCCACAAGAAGGGGATCGTTACAGAAGGTATTAAGGAATTTCGCCTTGCATTAGTAAAACAATCAATCGGAGGTGGAAACGCAACCACTCATCGCAAAAAGGATCATCATGGCTGGCAAGACTTCTGTACTGTTCCAGGATTGAGGTACTTTCCCGTTCCCTGATTTTAGGAAACGACACTAGGAGAAATTGTGAGGAAGATCTGTATCTTCCCCCATTACTACAATACTGTGATGAGCTGAAACCAGGGATATAGTGGTTCTTACTATTAGTGTATCTGCTTCTTCAGTTGCTTCCTTGGAGACCTTTCCGGATGCATCCCATCTCAGTAAATGTCATTCTCGCTCGGAACTTTCTTCATGGCAGAATTACATCTGAGACTGAAACAGAGAGAGAAAGAGAGACTGAAACAGAGAGAGAAAGAGAGACTGAAACAGAGAGAGAAAGAGAGACTGAAACAGAGAGAGAGAGGGAGAGACTGAAACGGAGAGAGAGAGGGAGAGACTGAAACGGAGAGAGAGAGGGAGAGACTGAAACGGAGAGAGAGAGGGAGAGATTGAAACGGAGAGAGAGAGAGGGAGAGATTGAAACAGAGATAAAGGACAGAACGTCTGCCGGGTACCGCTAGTTTATATATAAAAGATTTACTTGTTTCCGTATTTTGTGAAGAAACAAAATAATAATTAATCGAAATACTATAATACTAAATACTAAAAAACCATAATTTTATTAAGCGGAGTTAATAACATACAATAATAAATTGGTGAACTTTGGTTCAGTATTATCATCTTGCCAGCTGCCATCACCATTCAAACATTTTTTACATTTGCTCAATTTTCTCTTTCCTAGTCGCAGAACCGAAAAATCATATTAAGGATATTATTGAAGAGTATAGTCTCATATGGAAATTATGGTCGAAAATTTTGGTACCAGTTTTACGAAAAGGGCGATTAAGCGTTCCTGTAAATGCGAAATTTGAAGCTTTTTTTTACAGAAAATTGTTGTGATTTCAAAAACATGTATTGAAAATCGTTTGAAGCACTGCCACTCACAACTGCAATAATGTATACAAAGGGTCTGAAATGTTCATATTAGTGCCGTGAGAGATATTTCAAAAAAATTACAATTATGTAATTTTTGAAGAAACCAAACAACACAACAAAATTAATTTGTCATCTTAAACAGTGCATTTAGCATTATCAGCACAAAACTTTAGTGTATCAATACAAAAAATGTTTAAATGTTTCTGAAAATGCTGAAATTAGAGCTCCATTTCACAGAAAACTGTTGGGTTTTCGAGAAACTTTATATGACATAATTTAAAGTGCATGTACTCATAAATGCAATAATATGGACAAAACGCATCTAATGTAAATATTAATGAGTAAGTCATGATGAGGTAAGTCAAAAAATATATTAGTGTATTATTTTTAAAAAAGTATGGAGTGAAATATCATTCATATAATCCTATAGAATACACTTAACACTATCCATCCCAAAAGTTTAAAAAAAATCTGGAGCCGTTTTCGAAAAAATATTTTTGATATTTTTTTTAGATAATGCACATATTAAACTCAATCTTGGCCGAAAACTAATATTATTTTCAAAAATGTGTATGCCCTAAACGAAAGAACTAATTATGGGGAAAAATGTACTTAAAAGAAAAATATCTATATTCAATTTTGTAGTTGTAGGAAGAACCCGAAAAAGATTAATACTTTTGCACTTTTTGAAAATACATAGTTAACCTAGAATATCGGACCTATGCCTCTTTTATTAGCGTATTTTACTCTATTCTTACAAGAAATGTAAAGAATAATTTAGTTCCGTTTTTGAGAAAATTTTTAAAATGTCCGGCGGGGCTTCATGTAAAAACACCCAAATTTTCAAGAGTTATTTTAAAAAACTCGATGCTCCGACTCGAGCCAGATGGACAGGGGTTTCTTCAAATTGGAAAAATCGTACCTATGGTGTTCACAGACGGACGTTTTGACAAAAAAAACATTTTTTCGGTATCAGGGGACCCCGCCCAAAATGTGTATTTCCGTCGAAATCTCGAAATCGATTTTCTGCAGCATTACACAACTTTCCCTATACTACGTATGTTACTCCGTATATACGTATGTATACGGAAAAGTAAGTAGTGGTGCTACAGAATAGCTCAGGTTTTCTCCTATTTGTTGGTTTTTTAATTTCGTTGTCTGGGCAAACTTACATTCTTGCCCCATCCTCTTGCCAGCTACCATCTATCGCCGTCCAAAGTACATTTAAAAAAATAATTTTCTCAGTTTTTCGACTTCCTAACGGTAGAACCGAAGTATTACTTTAGTAATATCAAAGAAAAGTAAAACTTCGTTATATGAGAACTTTGTTGTTGAAAACTTTCGAGCCGTTTTTAAGAAAATAGCGTTTAAGCGTTACTGCAAATGCGGAATTCAAAGCTATTTTTCACATAAATCTTTTGAGTTTTTGAAAATCTCCAAATTTTCGTACGGATACTGCTTAATGCACTGTTTAATATGACATAACGTTTTTAAGACTTTTTTTTTTGTAATTACACGAATGCAATTATTTAAAATATCTCTGGCCGTTAATGTGCACATTTCCAGCAATTTGTATACCTATTGTACTTCTAAATTAAGGTGCTTTAAATTACTTTAAATGATGTTTGTTGAAAACTCAAAAATTTTCTCTTAAAAAGAACTTTCAATTTCGCTTTCACAAAAACGCGAAAACGCCAAAGTTTTTAAAATCAGTCGCAATTTTTCAATGAAATTGCCATTTAGAACGAGGTTTTACTTGTCTTTAATATTCTTAATGTAATATTTCGTTTCTACTAATAGAAAATAAGGAAAAATTGGGAAAAGTTTAAAAAAATGTACTTTTAGCGGCGGCAGCGGGCAAGAGTATGTGGCAAGTCCGAATAGCTAGCTAGCCCAGACCAAAGAACATAGAAAACTAATGTGAGAAAGTCTGTGACATTCTGTTGCACCATTAGTTTTTTAAACATGACGTCTTTTGAATCATTGATTTTTGTACCCACTTTCTGAACAGTTAATAAAGGTCATATTTTTATAAAGTTTACACTAATGTTGATGATGAAGTTATTGTTTTTTTTGAAAAATTCATTTCTTTTTAAGTCAAAATAAAAGTGGGGGCTCATATTATCACCTTCTCCTCTATAAATAAAACTAAATACTATCGATCTTGCCAAAAGCAGATGATAACATTTTAATTAAAATAATTTAATGTAGATTTTTTTAAATATGTATCCTACAGTTATATATAAACATTTGTGATCATAATAAATAAACATTTGATATTTCGATATATGATTCTCTGAGAAAAGTCCATCGTTGAATTTACAATTCGGACCGTTCAAATAACAATGAGGATCGTCACCTTTGTGTTCAACTAATTAATAACATTCAATAATAATCAATTAACTAACAAAACTGAAAACAGTGTATAATTAACCTAACAGTGCAGAATTAACTTAAAGCATTAACATAAACGAATATTTTCGTGTTATTATAGCGCCCACATTCGCCCCCACCTAATAAAAGATCCGAAATCCCGCTTGTTTGACGATGCCAATAATTCATCCACAGTAGTTGTTTTAATGGAATATAGAGAGAAACTAGTAATCAATCAACCAACCGACCAACCCAATCAGGATGGACGGCACGGGGATTGAACCCAGGCCTCCCGAATGCGGAGTCACCGCGTAGTCTGAGCCACTTTGCTCGGTATATTACCCTATAGCCCATGATAAACTCCATTGAGACTAGTAGTTAATTTACGACTATTTTGTATGCTTAATTTTCATTCAAGTGTCACAACAAATAGTCTCGAAAATAAAAACTGTCGTAACAAAATGTACATGGCTAAACCAACTTAATTTTCTGAGCATCTCAATCTGTTTATGTACGTCAGAAACAATTTTAAACTGTGTGGGAGACGCTATGGGGAGACATCTAAGCATTTGTTCAAGGATCAGGGCAACTGATCGCGATGGGGGGGGGGCTAATTGACCCGGGAGCTGAAGTACAATTTTTGTTACAGGTTCTTTAGAATTATACAATCCAAATGGTACATAATACACGAAATGTAATACACACTAAAAGACCCTTAGTGGGATCGGCAGCATTCTCGGAAAGTGTTAGTTAAAGCGATTAGCCGGATCGTTCACATTTCTATCGGTAATTTTTAAAACATTCTCTGCATGGTTTCTAGTCGATTTGGTCGAATTTTTTACTATATTTCACATTGTTTGTGTTTTAATTCTGTTCAAAATATCGGGATCCTGATCATGTTTCATGATTTTAGCCTGCCTTGTAACTTAACAATTATTTCTGCTTTTTTAAAGTAGAGAAGAATTTCTTGAGATAGTTTGAAAATCTTGAGATGTTTAGAAATGAAAGAAAGAATTCCTTTGTTTTTACATGATGTCCTGCTTCCTTGTATTATCTAAGAATTCTTTTTTCCATGTAATATTTAATTTTCTTTTTTGAAGAGGATAGCAAGTGTTAAAATGAAATGAAAGCGTTGAAGAAAAAATGTATTTATCGTTTGCATCAACAATATTGTAAACCATCAAACAGTATTGTAAGTAATTGATGAATAATTTTATTTTACTTTTAGTAAACAATCTACTCATACGTGTATTATTTAATGTGTCAGTCTTCGCATTTCTTACAATGGGAAGAATTTGTACATCGTGATCACTGTATCGTAAATATTTTGTTTCAATTTCATATCGAGTAACGTAAATGAAGGAACACCCATGTGCAGGACATGTACGCGATTCCTTTTCTCTACAATTAGCCTGCGAGGTAAAAGTTTGGAATTTGGAAAATGCTAAGTTCAGTATGAAATAACCAGTGTTCTGTAAAGCAAGTAACATACATTTGATTCAAATCGGTTTGTAGAGCTGTTTCGATAAACTTAGTTTTATTTGAAAGGGATTGAACATTATAGTGCAGTTTGTGCAACTTTTGCAAGTACCTACACCGATGTTTTTCTATTGCATCTCACTGTAGTTGCTATATATTTACTCCATTCTTACCTCGAGTGCTTGATTGAGGGTTGTAATATGTCCCAGCAGTGACAGGTTGTGAGGAAATTGAGGCGTAGATGTAGGTGAATTGGTAGTGGGAATAGGAGAAACGGCAGTAAGATGTGAGGAGGAGGTACGAGGGTTCGAAATAAGAATTGGTGGGTGGAGAACGTAAGGAAGTAGAAAAAGATGGATTTTTGGCAGGAGACTGCGTAGGTCTGGAGTTGATTGTTGTGCATGTTTGTGACCGACTACATGTTTTACTGCAAGATTCATGTGAAGACCATGCCGGATGAAGTGTTTTGCTGAGACAAAATTGATTTAAAAAAGTATTACATTTGTTTCCCTCAGTTGCAGTTTTAATTGTGGTTTTGCATGTTTGATCTCGCTGCGTAGTGTTGGTTTGTTGTACCGGAAGGGCAGAATTGAGGTTACAATGTTAGTAATTATGAGGGCACATTGGATTTTTAACGTGTTCAGGTGTAAAGTCACCGTCCAAATTAATGTCATTCTGCCCTCCTATGATAATGACTGTGCCCTGCTTGGTCAGTGTCTTTGTGTGGGTGTCCAACTCTGCAGTCACGACTGCAAACCTCCGGTTAGGTTTAAAAATAGATGAGACTGAATAGTTGAAGGGAAACTTCCTACTGAGAATGGAGAAAGATGGCGGCCATGGTTGTCAGCTCAAATAAGTACTTGTTTTTTAGGCTCAGTAAGAATGCCCTTTGTTTTCAAATGGGCTAAGATGCGCCGCTGTACGTGCTTTGGTTTTGACGCGTTTCCTAGCCTGTTTGCCTGTGTGCATTTATTTGTAGATGGTAGAGAAGAGTTGTGAGGATCAGGAAGGTGAGGAAATTCTGTTTCATATCGAAAATACGAAATTTTTGAGTTGCGACTGGATGTGGTGTCAGTGTCTTTGTACCCAACCGTCTGTGTAGAGAACGACCTCTTCCAACCTTCGGATATGTTGATCTAAATTACTGTGTGTGTGTGTGTGTGTGTGTGTGTGTGTGTGTGTGTGTGTGTGTGAAGGCTTTTAGAAGGTCGGCTTTGAGGGTTTAGAGAGTTAAGAGAATAGAACTTAGTAGCCATGTCACGAATGCGTTTTAATGTACGTGATAAAATTGTAATAAATACAAGAAACTCAGATAAGAGCAATAAACACCTACCTTAATATTTTGGTACTAAGTATAAGATTGAAAGTGTAAGATATTCAATAAATTAAAATTATGATTCGAAAATAGAATTAGAAGGTATGTTATATACAAAATCGATTGAAAGCTAGTACTTACGAAATTTGGGAACGTGGTTATGTAGATTGTTGCCCATTACAGCTGATACTATTTAATACAATCAGTAGGTTATACTTTACAGTAAATAAATAAAAGATATTAACAGACAATTTTTCTTGAAAATATAGAATAAATACGATTTGGAACAGAAATTCAAAAGTGTTCGATACACCGTCGTCAAATTCAAATCAACGGAATCGTCACTCCTCACAGAAATATAATAAAATTTTTCAGCAATAAAATTTACACAGTGATATAATATTGAAAATAAACTGACCTATTTATAGGTTTTGACACTTATCACCAACTCGTAAATCTTAATTTCGTTTAGGTTCCAGTAACCGTTTAAAATTTTTTATTCTTTGGTTTGTCTTGGTTATAGCAAAACAACTATCCGAAATTATATTTTTAGGTAACCTGCAGCAAGTAGTGAAACACTTAAACACACCAAATATAGTCAAATCATTAAAAATAGTAGCCAGTCATAAAAATTCAAGAGCACGCCCAGATACGTCAGTTTCGTAAGATGCAGTCAAACTATAGTCAAACAATATTAGAACTAAGTTATTGAACCTAATATAACGTTGCAACATTTGCTGTAGCTTATATATTTTTTCTATCCTCAGTTGTAATACTTTGTTGATATCTGAGATAAACATTACGTAAATACTTTTTAATATGTATATTGCCTAACAAATATTTTCTGAAGAACTTGCAACATCCATTTCGCATGCAGGTCTCAGCCATAACAATATTGCATATGTTACTGAAATAATTGAAGTAAAAGACAAGAAAGAAAGAATTGAAAGATTTCAATACAGTGGAATTTAATTTTGAATTGTGTATGTGATCAAAAATGTGTGTCATTGTAGATCACTAGTCATAAGTAATATAATTATTGTTCCATAATTGTGCAGAAGTATTCGTTCTTGTACTTTATGGCAATGCTTTGCCTGTTTCAGCTGCTGCAGCAAATACAAGCTTCAGCAAATGCTACTACGAATGGGCAAACAGGAGCAAATTCAAGTTTATCAGCTTTGAGTACCATGCAGCAGCAGCTATTAGTACAGCAGCAACTTCAAGCGGCACAAAATTCAGGTTTGCTGGATGTCTCTCACTTTGTTTTATATTCCTAAATGACTTTGTGACAGTTTGCATCATACTTAGCTAATGGCTTAGTTGCACATTTCGTCGTAATACAGTCTCGTTGAGAGGCATGTTATTTCAATTGACTCGCACATTCTGCATGATTTTTACTCTTTACTGCATTCGATGTGACTTTTGTACGAATCAGATCGTCAACACAAATTTTTCAGTCACCTACGGTTTGCAAAGAAACTGCGATTCAAAAGTCATTAATAATTACGGGGTGGATACTAATGACCTGAAACATCACCGAAAATGATCAAAGAATGCTCTTAAAATGTTTTTTTAAATGCCTTAAAAGAAAAGAAAAATGATAAAACAATACTTTGGTCAAAACCTATTTAGATGAACAATTCATGCTGTTGGCTATGTTATTGATGTAATCGAGGCTTCTTCCTTTCGTTCAAGTGAACTTGCACATTTTCGGTTTGGACTGTTCTTTAACAGGAAATATGTCTTTAGTTATCTCGAAATCGGCCGAAACAATAGCGCTGTTGGCGTCACACGAACCTAACACTCACAACGACTGACATTATTAGATTTCTTCACTCAGAAATTGTAATCTACTGTGGAATTGTGTGGAGAACATTTTTTGTATCTCGTAAATGTTATTTCAAGTAAGTACCATTGATATGATATCAAGATCGATTAAATGAGCCAAAAATGTTTACTAAATGACAGTATGATAAAAGGAAAATAAAAAATGACAATTTAAATCGGCCCCGATTTTTAATAATAATGATAATAATAATAATAATAATAATAATAATAGTAACAATAATAGTAATAATAATAGTAATAATAATAATAGTAATAATAATATTAATAATAATAATAATAATAATAATAATAATAATAATAAGAATAAGAATAATAATAATAATAATAATAATAATAATAATAATAATAACCGCAACATTTCTGTAGGATGGATTGATTATACCATGGCCTTGGACTCGATACCTCATTCGTGGCTTTTGTATGTCCTTCGCCTCTACAAAGTAAATTACCACTATGTGAACTTAATCCAACACTACATGGCAACTTGGCGTACAAAGATAAAAGTCTCATTCGCTGGAGGCAGCTATACCACCAAGGAACTGAGGATCAAACGAGGAATTTTTCAGGGAGATAGTCTTAGTCCCTTATGGTTCTCGCTAGCTCTAAACCCTCTCAGCAGAATATTAAGATATTCAGGGATGGGATATGAAATCACCAAAAATCCACATATCCTCATGAATCATCAGTTCAATATGGACGATCTCAAGTTGTATGCCAGATATAAGAACCAGCTTTCCTTGTTCCTTGAACTTGTGAAGTCCTTTAGCAACTCTATTTGTATGAAGTTTGGCATTGAAAATGCGCTGCAGTGCACGTGAAAAGAGGAAAAATCCTTGATCCTGATAAACTGATCCTGATGTGTGACACAAATATCCAAGAACTTGGGCAAGAAGATATCTATAAATATTTAGGCCTGCACCAACTTTTGAGCACAAGTCAGTCACAGATGAGGTGTGATATTAAAAATAAAGTTGTTCAAAGAGTGTCCAAAATCTGTAAAACTCTTTTAAATGGAAAGAACCTTGATATCAGCTATCAACATAGGGAGTAAAAACCTTTTTGGTTCCCGGGCTGTGTTTTTTGGTATTTCCAAAATTTTTTTTTGGAAATTTTGTTTTCTTTTTTTTCAACTGGGACAACAACTGCACTGCAGGAGCTTAACGAAAAGTTACGACCACTCTTACCAAGTATCGCATGCACCATCCCAAAACAGCATCAATGGCAACACTATACTTACCTCGGAACAAAAGTGGTAGAGGTCTTCTGGATTTTGAGTTTCTGTGTGCGAAGCAAATCAACAATCTTCGCAAATACTTCCTTCCAGAAAACGACCGGTCACGCATGAAGAAATTTGTACACGGACAAGAATTTTACTCCACTGAAAACCTGAATCAAAGTAGACTCTGAAAGGACCATGTATCACGAAAGAAGATAGACTGAGTGATGGACCCAGAAGCGTATGCACGGCAGGATTCCTGCTGAACTCAAAAGGAACGCCGTTGAATATGGGATCGTCAAGTTCTCCTGTGCTAACAGAATCTGGCCTCTTTGCTGATACAGAGTTCGTAATTTCCATTCAGGACGAAGTAACCTCACTCGCACAATTTACCAAAAGATATGTTTAATTGGGGATATGAGTTGTAGTGGACCGCTGCCGCCTTTGCAATCACCCCGGCGAAAACCCTCCAACACATCATGGGCGGTGTTCTGGCTTTTGGCGGCAAAAGAATACCTGAGTCGGCACAACGACGTTGCTGCGTTGTCCATCAGGCCCTGGCTGCAAAGTCGGAGATGATACAGATTGAGGTCCCATACACAAAGTTCAAGAAAAAATAAAAAAAAAAAATAAAAAAAAAAAAAAAAAAACCCGATTCAAGTTTTGGAAATCGAAAGGTGTAGCTCTTTTGGAGTGTAGCCAGTCACACTGATCGCAAGGGTCAAAGCCAACAGACCTGACATAATATGGATGGACAAGCTTCACGGAAAGGGATTTACAGTCCGGGACTAGCTACCCTTTAGATCGAAATATAGTTTGCCTCTATTTGCACGAGAAGAAAGCGAAAATATCAAGGCCTTGGCTATTAAACTGAGCGACATGTGGCGCCTTAGTATCTGTTTGAAGTAGTCCCTGGGTCATCTCTGCAAATGGATTCTTCCGCAAGAACTAATTTCATTGTCTGCAAGTCTTTGGCCTTAAGAACTGGCACATTCAAACAAGCAAAAAGCGCTTCTCCTTGAGTACTACACGCATCGTAGCGAGTTCTTAGTGATATAACTGACCGCCCGAGTTTGCAAGCGAAAGCAGGACACCTTGGTTCTACAAAGGTCCCGCGTGTCTGCTAATAGGCACTTCGCTAAGCGAGGAGACTTGTGAAAGAAATAATAATAATATAATAATAATAAATAATAATAATAATTAATAATTATAATAATAATAATAATTAAATTAATTAATAATAATGTTTACGACAGTGTTTCCCGACATTTACTCGGGACACCAGAGCAGGCCTACCACGACGAAAGATTACAGGGAAAAACGATGAAATTGAATGAAAAACATTATCAGATATATATTACGCATCACCCGTTGCGAACCTCCCGTATGGCTTACAGGCAGGAATTACACGCACGTGTTCACTTCGACCCTATCCGCCATCTGTCCTCCATCTAAACTGAACAAAAATCGTGGGCTGACCGGTAGAAGGCACTGATTTATAGATCGAATAAGTTACGTGAATCAGGTTCGAAAACAGCAAATTACAATATGAAGTCCAGGCAAGAATTTCAAAATACAAAGCATTGGCACACTGCAAACACTTCCACAAGACCAAGAGACCGACTCATAACAACTTCATTTAGTAAAGCCAGTGACAGGGAACGAAACACTTATGGAAGACTCTCTGTGTGAAAATTTGAAATCTCAATATCAGTTTTGGCAATTGCGGAATTTGAGGGATTGACCTCGCTATAGGCAAGGATTCGCTTAATACAAAACAACTCTAGAAAGCCCCTTCGCGATCCTGATTAAGACAGTCAATGAGATATCTTACCTTGTTGTGAAAGTGAAAATTATTTTTCCTATCATCGCTAGACTCTATCTACCATTATATCGTATGCGCGTATGCGGTTAAGTAGAGGATGAATGGCCGAGTAAATGATTTGAAGCCCGGCAGTCACATAACTACGGCGAGCAGAGAGAACCACCGGGAACGAAGATCTAAAAAAGAAAATAGACGGATAAGAACAGATATTGCCGTGATGAGGCGTTCCAGAGAGGAAGCGAAGTAAACGTATGGCGAGAACAAAGTTCTCAACACCAAAAAGAAATACCGAAAGCATCACAACACATAACTCAGAAAAATAGAACTCTCGCTGACTTTGCAGACACTCTTAAGGCAACAATGAGAATCTAACAGTCAGCGATGGCGACGTTATTCCAAATAGCCTTAGTAGGAAAATAGACAAAACCGGGACTTCATTAAAAAACGCAGAGACTTTTTATAGAAAAATGGCGCTAGGGAAGAAATAAACGTTGACCTTATCCTCCAGAGAAGTCAGCTATAGAAGAGTTTCTGGAGCAATGTCTGGTCAACTGAAAATCAGCTTCAACAGTAACGCGGCCCATGCTGCACAAATTGAGACGGACTCAGAGAACATCGGTCACATTGGCAACATCGTCCTTGAATAGACACTCTGAAAGCAAGTCATGGCGCAAGCAGCACCAATTGGAAATGCGCCTGGAACTGGACGGAATCCATAATTTCTGGTCTGAAAGATTCACAGTCTACATACAAAGTATTGGAAACTGATCAAGCTATTATCCAAGAAACCGCAAGGGAATCCCTTTTCCTATCTTTGTGAGGGGTAACACGTTTCATGGAAACCAAGAACAAGCAACCACAGTGGACGCCTTCCACAAGTTTAGACGCAATCTAGTGCCTCAACGCATTCTACAAAATCAACCACAAGCTGCCTATCTGTAATAGAACATCACTGTTTCACAAAATAAAGTCTTACACCGAAACACTGAAAGGCTGTTGTAAGGGTTTCCATGGGATGTAAGGACAACTTAATAAATCGACAGGTGTTATCATGACCGGCCATCACAAAAAGACCGTAATATATACCACGTGCTTTATTGATTATAAAAAAAGCTTTTTGACATGGTCGCCCGACTTGGCTTATCAACACCCTGACAATATAGTAGGATAAATCCCGTAATTGTACATTTCCTCAAAACCATCATGGAACAAATGGTGCACCCACGATACATATCACACTAACGTCAAGACAAGTGATTACCAGGACCACTAGACATCAAACGTGGATTATTCCAGGGAGACAGTTTTAAGTCCTTTTTGGTTCTGTTTAGCAATTGAACCCGACACTATCCAAACTTTACTGGGACAAGAATGGAACAGGATTTGAA